ACTGTTGGTAACAATGTTGCCACCACTGCATGTACTTGGGCTTGACTGAGGATGATCCCTCTGTGTGGCACACACCCTCTCCCATGTTGGTTCATGGTTCAAGCCACAGTTGTGAGACTGTCCTCTTGCCATCCATGAGATCAAATGGCTACTTTGTGTCTTCATCACATACTTCTTTTAATGGATCCATGAGTTGTGTCTGACAAGGACTTAGTTGTTCTTCCTTTTCCTTTGGGTTGTGAACTCCCCAAGGAGCTGTGGCTTGTTCTGTGCCAGCCTTATGTGTCCAGTCCCTAATGATAGTAAACACTTCATCAATCATGTTGGTTGGCTTGGGGTCAGGCTCTGTTGACAAGAAAACTAATAGACAAAAGAAATAGTAAACTCTTTCTTTTCAGACTTGGTTTAACCTCTTTAGTAAGTTTTGCAAGTTTACAATAAGAAGCTTGGATTTCAACTGGTTATATGCAGGGTCTTTATAAGCCTAGTAGAAGCTGAACAAAGTGCAAGACAAAACCCTTTTCCCTTCCATCAGACACTGCACACTCATCTCCAGCCATGCCAGCCTCCTAGCCTCAGGGAGATGTACAGCCTAAATTATTATCTGGTATTAATAATCCGGGGCGCCTGGGTGGCGCAGTCGGTTAAGCGTCCGACTTCAGCCAGGTCACGATCTCGCGCTCCGTGAGTTGGAGCCCCGCGTCGGGCTCTGGGCTGATGGCTCAGAGCCTGGAGCCTGTTTCCGATTCTGTGTCTCCCTCTCTCTCTGCCCCTCCCCCGTTCATGCTCTGTCTCTCTCTGTCCCAAAAAATAAAATAAACGTTGAAAAAAAAAATTAAAAAAAAAAAAAAAAAAAGAAAAGAAAAGAAAAAAAATAATCCATTTCTTCTATAGCCATCTATCTTTATTTTCCATTCTGGCTTGAGCTGTTTACCTTCCCATAGATAAGGTGACCTGTGGCTACTCAGTGCCAATAATCATCTATAAGTAGAAGAAAAAAAAAAGTTGTTTTCTTTTTTTCCAGACTGTGCTATAAATCTGAATCTTTTATAATGAGGGATTTCCCTGACCTGGTTTAAAAATGAACTTGTCAGGCTAAAGATATTTCAGCTCTTTAAAGAGACATGGGTATGTGTAAAATGGAGTCAAAATGGGTTCTAAAGCTACCTTGTGACTAATACCTAGGATGATATTCTTAACCCCCATGAGCTGTATGATGCCACCTACTTCAGTGTGATGCCCTGAGGACGAAATGAGGTGCATCCAGCACATGCCAAAATAACACTATAAAATGTTGCATAAGGGTTAGTTGATTTTCACAGTTAATTGATCATGATCTAATGTTTAAAAATTCTATGGATTTTTCTTTTTGTCTTTTCTGCACTTTTGGAACATAGACTCATTGCTACTGTTCTGTAGACAGTATCAGCAATCAACATAATCCATTGTGTTTTTTCTCCATTAGATAAGATATAGCTTGTATGGAAAGTTCAAAAACAGAAAGAGGCAGTTTTTATTTTTGCTCTACCTTATGCAGCCATTTTACAACCTGAGTTCTGGAATGAGTGATCTGAGAAGCTAGGAAAGGTCTCTCTTCAACTGTAGTATACTGGACCAGTTGATAGAGCTGCTCTGGGATTTAATATATTACACTGGCTCTTGTTCCTAGCTTTCTATGCCAGTTTTGCAGTGAAAGTTATCCAGAATATAAATTGATAGCAGAGACTCCTTGAGACGATATACGACATCACTAACTGTTCATGATTCACATAAAACTTCTGCTTGTTGAAAATGATAGACATCTTTTGTTTTTTCCTTGTATTTTTTCCTTACTCTGAAAAATTTACAAACCACTGCCAGACACGAATGCCAGGGACTAACCAATGCATAGTACAAATCATTGACCAATGCATGGGACAATTCAATCAAATTTGACTGTGGAAATTTGACTCTGATGGAAAAGACCAATAAGTTTTCACCCAACACCCAAATTGCAAATTTGAAAAGTACCTGGAAAGGCGCTATTTGGGATTGGGTGAGGGCCTGTGCTCACATCCTTGAATATTTAAGTTGCTTTTCCTCTGTTGAGCAACATTGGTGTGGTAAATGAATATGTACACTGCTTCCATTTGGGTGGTGATTGAGAAAATCATCCTCTCCACTAACTACAGCATTCTGTAAGACGTGTGATGACTAAAGAGTTGCCACCTTTCCTGGTTTACAAGAATTATGTGCAACTAGAGAATCAATAAATCCAGAACGTTGTAGAGAGTATATGGAAGCAATGGGGAAACTTTCCAGCTGAGAGAAAATTTTCTGGGTATTTTTGTTGTGGTTGTTCACAGTATTTATTTTACATTCCACAATGTAGACCAGTCTTTACTAGATGCTACAAAATAAATGGACTCCAATGCCTTCAGAGAGAGTCTTTAGACTATTTCCACAATCATTGGAAAGTGCAAAGAACAAAAGACCTCTCTTCTATGAAGGATGTTCCTATCTTCCTTTTTACTTTCTCTAGGTGATGGCCCAGAGCACTCATGATCCAATAGAACTTTTAGTGATGATGGCAGTGTTTTATATTTTTGCTGTCCAGTATGGTAGTCATTAGCTATGTGTGCCCACTGACCACTTGCAGTGTGGCTGGTACAACTGAGGAACAAAAGAATTTTATTTAATTCTAACTAGTTTAATTTTTTTTAATGTTTATTCATTTTTGAGACACAGAGAGCATGAGTGTGCACACAAGTGGGGGAAGGGCAAAGAGAGGGAGACACAGAATCTCCAGTGGGCTCCAGGCTCTGAGCTGTCAGCACAGAGCCTGATGTGGGGCTTGAACCCACCAACTGTGAGTTCGTGACCTGAGCTGAAGTCAGATGCTTAACCGACTGAGTCACCTAAGCACCCCTAATGCTAACCAGTTTAAATGTAAACCCGTGTTTGTGGCTAGTGGGTACCATATGAACTGAGCAGCTACAGCTTAGTTGGTGATATTCATACGAAGAATAACAACTAATTATTGAGCATCATATTATATACCAAACATTATGTTAAGCATACTACGTACACTTATTTAATCCTAATCACAACCCTATGAGGTAGTTAGTAATATTCTACCCCTTTAGTAGAAGAGAAGTCAATGCACAGAGGATAAGCAATGCACTCACCCACCTTTTTTTTTTTTTTTTTTTTTTTTTTTTTTTTTTTTTTTTACCTGGTCGGGCAGAAAAGCATCACTGAAAATTTAAAAATGGTCATGTCTTTGGTAACTTCTGGGCTGATTAAATTCAGAGGTGACCTACTGAGTAGCTTGGAAAGATTGCAGAAAGATGTATCAACTCCTTGTGCCTACAAAAGTCCATGACCTGTGGCCCTCTGCAGGAACTAGAAACACTGACCCAGCTTCTCATCTGATGTTGTCATGGAGATTCAGCCTTAAACAAAAAGATGGCGCTGTTTTTGGGCTCCAGGAATAGAGCTCAGCAATTAGCTTCATCTTTATTTAGTTTGTAACACCAGCCTGGAAGACTCTCTCGAGAGGAGACCTGGAAATAGCTTCTCACAATGCTAACAGACAGCTAGAGATGATTTCCTGGGAACATCGTGGATGCCATGTGTGGGATAAACCTGAATATTTTTTTTAATCAGTCATTTTAATATCTTGGAAAACACTCAGCTCTCTAATGATCACCATCACATCAACACCATATTGCATGTGTTGATTATCAGGCAGGGTTTAAAGAAAAAAAAAGTTCCCAAACCTGGATGTGCATCAGAACCTTGGGGAAGCTTGCGACATTTTGATGAGCACCAGGTTAGAAAACAAAAGATATAAATTAGACTGAAGTATAAACTTTAAGGCATTTCAAAGAGATTTCTTCTTCACAGATTTTCTGCCATAAATAGAATTTTAAAATTGCTCCTTGGTATTTCCTTAAATACCTGAGTACTAACAGTAATATATTAATGTAACATTGCCACAGTGGTGACCGTGTTGAATGTATTTATGCCTAAATTCAGGAAATATATGCTGTGTTATGAAACTGAATGGAAGCAAAGTGTGTTTATGTGTGGTTTCTCAGGTATCTAGTTACTTCAGTAAACTTTTGGCTTTAAGACACCATTGCTCCAGAAATGATCAATACTGAACAGGTGAAAGACAAGACAGGAGATGTATTGATACTCAATCTGAAAATCCTGCAAGTTTTTCCAGACAAAAATCAGATACAGATGGATTACTTGCACTCTCAAACTTTATTACATGTGGTACAGAAATAGAATGGGTACAAGAGATCACATGGAAAAGGATCAGATTGGAATCTCCAAATTCTTTCCTAGAGGAAACACAAATAGAAAAATTCAGTTAATGTTAAGTGACCTAATAACAACAATGATAGTTAACATTTGAATAACTACTGTGCCAAACTTAGTTCTAAGTGCTTTACTTTTATGTAGTCTTCACAACTACCCTATGAGGTTATATTTTACAGATGAGGAAACTGAGGCACAGAGAGATGATCTTTTCTAAAGGGTCAGCACTTTACCCACTTGGCATAAATGAGGCAGGGTATCACATGCTGACCCTCTATTTCACTTCGTTTTACTTTGTAGGGGAGTTAGGTAGGAGCCCCCAGTGATGCTACAGTACCTGCCTCTTTACCCAGGATGCACTGAGAACCCACTACCCAGGGAGGGAATGTATTTGAAAGGGTCACATCACAGTAGATCATAGTAGGGATCTCTTTCTCAATTTGATGGTATTGATGTCTTTCCTAAATAAAGCCCCTAGAAAAGGTTCTAATGGGCTAAGGTCTGAAGACTTCCTTAGTGTAATTTCTCATGATTTTGGAATATTGAGAGGACACTGACGGTATGTGAGGAGGACCACCTAGGGACTAAGCTTGTCCTGGAAACTGGAGAAGGTCTCTTCAGTACATTCATTGGTGGGCTGGGTAGCAAAGCTTCCTCAGGACACTTAGAAGGATGTGAAATGATACTTGCCTTGGACCACCGCCTGACTGTATGCCTGTGCACATCGCCAGGTGTGCTTGCACTTTTCACCTGAATAGAAACAACAGCTGAAGTCTCAGTCTGGACTCAGGCAAACCACGGCAAATTTAAATGCAAAGGAAATTTGCAAACATGACCAAAATGAGGAATAGAGGAATTAAGTTCCTAGAACAAAAATCTAGAATTTCTCATGCAAACCCAGGGAGGCCAGCTTAATCAAATTTTCAGCTAACACAGATGATAATGACTCTGGTGCCCAGTATCTTTATGGGGCTTCACTCCTGCAAGAGCAGAGAGAAAACAGGTGATGAAGCCATGGTGGCAATTACCTTTCCACATTTTTGGGTTAGGGACATGACATTTTTTTAAAAAATGTTAGCAAATCCTTTTCTGAGCTTAATTTTATTAGCTTTGGTTCTCACGAGGAGGGAGAGTCTGCTTACAGCCATCAATATATGACGACTTGGGACTGTAACTCTGAACTAACTGGCTGCACTCAGCCCAGGATGACTGGGAGGTCTTGAGTTTGTTATTCAATGGATTTCACTGAATTCTCAAGAGTTAAACATTTTCAAGTCTAGAAGACCCATGTTCTTAGAGCAACAACAGTCTTTAATTTTTCAGACCAACAAAAGAATTCGAGAATATGTGGAAAGAACACCGAATAGTCTCATCATTTGCAATAACATCCAGGAAGAAAAAACAAGAGGGCACATCTCATTTCAAAATGACCCTTAACTCAGATTACGATTTCTGTCTTGAAGCCCTGGAGGGCCTCTAGAATCAAACGATGAGAGCCATAAATGTTGCTAAGATAGATTATGCAGACTGAAACTCATTGTGTCCCAGTGCATTTAATTTCAGAAAAGTTGATTAAACAGGACTGTGGCCAGAAGCCCATGTTGAGACATCCACTGTGCCATTGGGAAGTTGTGTGTGTCACTAGGAAGTTGCCTCACTGCTCTGAGCCTCAGTTTCCTCATATGTTAAGTGGGGACGGTAAGTCCTCTCTCAATGGATGGTTGTAAGTCTGTAGCAAAAGGTATAATATGGTCCAACTATTATCATCATCCTAATTGATATTATTATTATTAAATTGCTATAAAGTGTTATGTGAGGCCCTTTGAAGACTGAGATAAATGAGCCTAGCTCTTCAAGGAAATTCTATATTTGATATAAGCTTGATAAATACCAAACTTCAAAGTACCAACAAAGATCTCTGAGGGGTTTTGTTAATTGATTTTGTTGTAGTACCCTAGCCTTGAAAGGAAACAAAATGTGTTTTCACAAGCAAAGATTAAGGGACTCTGTTCCACTCAGTCATTATTCTGTCACTCAAGACATACCCCAGAATGATTATTTGTACTTAAAATGCTCTTCAGCTTGCCAGCCAGCGTGGAGTTACCTGTCGAAGTTAATCATATGGAGTGGTTCATGTATCAGGCAGTATGAGCCTATCTGTCCCACAGCAGTCTCGCTGAGTGACTGATAACATTCTGTGTCAATTTCACCAAGCCGAAAGACTATTACTGACCCATCAAAAGACCAAAGTGACCCATCTCGAAAATAGAGCCTGTTGTACCTAGAGAAAAGGTTGCCCGACTTCATTGGCAATCTAGATGTCATTCCTTCCAACTTTGATGGTTTACGGTAACCAAAAAATGTAACCACATAAAAAAAGGAGAAAGCAAAGCCAATTAAAATAGAAAGATGATTAGGGACTAACAGTCCTACCTCATATATGCACATCCTTTATAAAGGAAGGCTTTTATTTACACGAATCCATTCAAGCTTCATGGTATTCCCCTGGAGAAGAGCATGCTCCCATCTTACACCAGAGGAAACCGAAGATCACATAGGATATGACTTATCCAAGATCACAGAGGTTCGTGAGGTGATAAAGCTTATGCTACCTCAAATAGGAGAGCCACCATTAGGGGCTTAGCCCAGTTTTCCTTTTTCTTGGCCAGAGAAAAGAAACAGCACACACAAGGTCATAACCAATACTTGGACCAACACTTACGTGAAGTGGGATTGCTGATTCTTGTCATGTTCTTCTAAGTGTTTGGGTCACTTCAGCAAGAACAGGCTTTGGACACATTTGCTCAGTCCTCTTAGTGCAAGCTGGGGTCCTCAGAGGTTACTCTGAAAGAAGGCAGCAATATAAAGGGAATTCAAAACTAATCTTACACTTGAAAAGAAAAAAATAATGAGAATATTCATGTGGATTGTAAAGAGAAATAATGATTACCTTTGATTCCTAGAGAAAGTTAATTTAAAATGCATCCAAGTTCCATTGTACAGCCAAAAAAAAAAAAAATCTGCGAAGCTGAGACATGTCTTTAGAAGGCAGAAATAAGAGTCACCGTCACTTGAGTCCTGAGAGGATGCTCATTCCAGTAATTGGGAAGAAGAAAGATTGCACAGATTAACTGACTTTGGTTTAGGATACACTGTTTTCTTTTTAAATGCAAATGATACTTGAGGCCTAAAAGACAAAATCTGTCCTAAATGCCAGTCTCTAAAAATTTTTAAAAAAATTGAAAAGCACTTAATAATCAGAAAACAATGAAATTGATAATATTTTTGTTTTTACCAAATTAGAAGTGCTACTTAAGCAAGTGCATAGGATCCATTTCCAGTGGTAAATTTGAAGTTCATGTGCCCTTTGAAACACAAATAGGGTATCAGTAGTCCATAAAAGGAAAGAAGTGGGCATAAAACTTTGTTGGTTTTATACACAGGGTTAGCTCATCAAAAGACATCTTAGTTAATTACACAAATGCAGATATAGCATTGATTGTCAGTTTTAAGAGTTTTATGTAATAACTACGGCATAGTTTTGAAACCTGTGACATCAGGGTAAAAAAAAATGCCTTTCAAGGCAGTTTATAACTTTTAGACGTTTTATCTGGAAGAATACAGTTCTACTTGCTGAGTCTGTCCATGCGGAATTTTGTTATTATGTGTACATAATGTGTTCTAGGTAAGTTTAGGAGCCTTTAGTATGTGAGGTATTATACTCCAGTCAATCCATGCACATTTTCTGAGAACCTAGTATTTGCCAGGCCCTTTCCTACAGGCACAAAGATACAGGTGACTCAGTCCCTCTACATACCAGCTGCTTTCCTGCATGTCATTCCCTGCAACTGTCTGCCTCAAAACATAATATTCCAGCCTCACAGAACTGCCTTCTAGTCTCACCATATACCATATTCTTTTGTACGCTGGGTTCTTTGTGCATATTTGTTTTCTGCCTTTTGTGACTTTTCTTTATGGTTGCCTGGAGTCCTTCATCATTTGAGACCAGCTCAAACAAAACCTGGGTGATGCTCTCCACCTATAGCTTGCTAGCACTTGGCATAGACCTCTTCTAAGAGGCATTGCCAATCTGAATGATCATTTCTTACCTTCGAGTCTTCCATCAGATCTGGGCTCCCTGAGGGTATCGTCCGCTTCTGTCCCCAATTCCTAGTCTGTCCAGGGCTGGCCCAGAGGAGTGGTGCTTGACAAACATTTCTTTGATGGACCCAACTTAAAAATGCCCTTAGCGTTCACAAATCCTGGCCAGATGATGTGCTGCCATGATTAAATGTAAAACTTGACACAATTGTCATGGCTTTGGGGCATGATGTAAAAGTGTTTTATGCTAAGGGTACATATTCTAGCCATGTGAATTTTCATCCCATTCTTTAAGTTGACCTGAAGATGTAGAACTGAGGTGGCAAATGCTAATTGCTTTTTAAGGATGCTGAGATGTCAGACCCCAAGGAGAGAAATAATGGTATTTCACAGAACTCTTAGGTAGAAAGAAATAGGCCAACAAGATTTATAGCTGCATTTATTTCTAAGGTGATTCTATGTCAAAGGTCGGGTAACGTACATTCTGTGCTATCCTATACTTACAGAGTGTTTTCAAAATGGATTTTAAATTGACAGTGTCTCGAGTTAGTGCAGAGATATCACACTGAAGGTGAAAGAGGGGCGGGGGGCGGGGAGCTTAACATGATACAAAAACTTGGTCACACAGTTCCAAAAAGCTTTAAGATGTAAGATAACCCCATTATAGTAATTATAAGAGACGAGATTATTGATTTTTTTCACAATACCAGTTAATAAATTAGTGAAATGTCAATAATATTAGAACCAGCGCACTTGCTAGGAGGAACATACGTTGTAAAAACAAGACTCAGGGCTATTACTTGCAAGGCTGAATTAAGTTCAAGTTTTAAAATCAGAACACCATCCAGTGGTGTGAAAATTTACTTCCTAACAAAACAACCTGTTTCCTGACCTGGTGATGATGCCAGACTGATTGTGTTTCTATTGCTTAATTGCATTTTAAAATAAATGTCATTAGATTGATAACCCTCTGCAGGGTTTTAAAATCCACAAACATTCAGACAAGAGATGCCAGGAGGACTGATTCAGTCGATGTCTGGCCTGTGGTGTTTGTCAGAGACAGGATGTCGAGTGTGTTTTCAAGCCAGATTAGGTTCTGTTCTGTCTGAATTTGGACCTGCTTCCTTCAACCCCCTACAAGTAGGTTCCTGCTTGGAGAGTCTGCCTTTGCTAGAGTGTGGGGGCTGAAACAAGTCTTACTAGCCCAGTAGTACATATTGTTTACTCTTGAATCTACAAAATTTCCTTTACTGTTTTGTCTTCCTAAAAACAATGCAGATATGGATTTGAACACACAACTTTATGTGCCTTTCTCCACTTTTCTGCTGAGATTTCCTGTCTTACTGTAACCTGAAAAGGCAAATCCCTTCCCTTTTCAAGTAAATGTAACTTAGACCAAATTCCAAATTATTTAAAATTTTTATTATTTATTTTGAGAGAGAGAAAGAAAGAGAGCGCATGTGCAAGCAGGGGAGGGACAGACAGAAGGACAGAAAGAATCCCAAGCAGGCTCTGTGCTATCAGTGCACAGCCCCATACAGGGCTTGAACTCAGGAACCAAGAGATCATGACCTGAGCGGAGATCAAAAGTCTGACGCCTGACCGACTATGCCACCAAGGCGCCCCCAACTTCCCAATTATTTTTTTTTAAGTAGCAGTATGAGATCATTATCATTAGTGTGTAAAGACACCTTTACATTGGCAGAAAAGGAGAGCACCCAATCACAATCTTTGAAACAAGAAAATCCTAGTCAAAACTTTATTCTGAAACAGCACATCCTAAAAGTATTTTTTAACTGAAGAACATTTTCATCTTGTATCCTTTAACCCAAAAGGCATCAACTCTGAATGGAGCTAAAGAGAACTTTTAATGGATTGAGATTAATTCTATCATTTTCACCCAGGGAAAATTCCTTCTCTTTTATTCTCAGGGAGGCTCATGTAAATGGAGTGTTCAAGTGATGAGTTGCAGTGTTTTGACAAGCCCTTGGTGTACAAAAACTTGAAATCTCACTGGAATTCCACTATATATTCACTGGGAGGAAAGAATGCCCTATTTAAAAACTAGGACAGATCATGTTGATATGGAAAAAGGAAATAAGTATGTGAACAACATATCCTAAATTAAAGACTGAGTTGCAGGCACCCATCTAAAATCAACAGGAAATGTAATTACTCTGAAAGTACTCTTGTCCTATCTTACGGTGGTGCTAAATGCCCCATTAAAAATAAATAAATAAATAAATAAATAAATAAATAAATAAATAAATAAATAAATACAAGACACACAGCAATGATCTGATAAAAGTTCTATGTTAGCAACATAGAAACAAGGAAGACTAGCCTCTATTAGGAAGCACTATTTCCCCCTCCCATGATAGGACCTCTCCACTCTCTCTTGGAATCTTTCTACAGATTGGTTTCTCTATTTTGTAGCACAATACCAGGTTTAAAAGCAAATCAAAAGGCAACCTTTCATTCACAGCCACCACATGATTTTAATAACTCTGCTCCATATTTTCCACTGTTTGTTTTTCCACAGTTGGGAATACTTTGACTCCATCTGGATAAGGATGCTTGTTTTGCACTATATTAAACTATTGTGAAGGCTAAAGGGTGGAAGTGTGCTACTAATAATAAATAACAAAATAATAATAAAGTCACATCATATATGTTTTAGTGAGAGCCTCAAATAATAAACTTCAGTGATGAACCAATGATTACTTCTATGCCTGCTCATTCCTGTGTCTAGTTCACACATCACACCATTCACCATTTCTCTAAGCTATTAGTTTGAACACCTTTGGTATTTATTGATAATTCCTGGGTTTGACTAACATTAAGACTCATTTTACACTCTTGAGGTCTTTCCTTGAAGCTTTCCTTGCTCAGTGTCACATGTTATGACTGCAGTTGGTTCCATGCTTCTCTAAGGCAGAACTATGAGCCACAGATCATCTTCAACACACTATCAAGCCCATCCGGCAATGCCTTTGTGTCACTTTGCTGTAAAGAAGGAACTGAGACTATTTTGGGTTTAAGATGGTAACGCCATTTGTTATTTTTTGAATGAATACATTTCTGGGAATGTATTTAATAAAAATAAACCAGAACAAAGGTTTTTGCTAGGCTTGTAAAACATTCCCCTTCCTTCCCTGTAAGTTGCCACATCAGCTTCTAAAACCAGAGCATGACAGCACACATTTAAAAATAATCTCTCACCATCAGTAGTTTTAAAGTAGACCATATAACAGAGTGACCAGCACCAATTCCACCACTGTTGGCTACTTGCTCAGCAAAGACAAATGTACACACATCCACACACATGTTCTCCAGAAAAGAAATCAAGTCTGTGACCTGTAGCAGCTGTCTGCACTATGCTGAGCAAACAGATTGTCTTTGAAAACACGTTTCATCATATAAATGATTTATAGGTAATCATGCAGTTTTCATGGAAACATTTCTTTTCTCAGTAGAGACAAGAACATACAAATAAATAAAAATTAGATTGTTTCTTACCTTTTAGAAAGCAGGCAAAAGCTATACTGTTGGTGGGATAGTGTACCAAGTAACAGACTTTTGTACACTCTTTCTTACTGGTGGTATACAGTCTACAGGAAAAGTAAATATATAGGTATGTATAAAATAATTGTGCAAACAATATTCCTTTTATTCTTTTTTTTTCCCATTTGGAGAAGAGGCTGCCATAGAGACCCTGGACATTATGCCCACTCTTTCAGTGG